GATGAAGAGGAGAATGAGAATGGAAATGGAGAAACGTTATTTTTTTCAAGTTTGTCAATGAAGGAAGTGTAGTGATAGGATGGTAGTTTGTGGGGAGGCAGAATAGATGGAGGGACTTCCCCCCCCCCCGACACTCTGAACTGTTCTTGTGAATGGTCATGAGATGAATGGAGTGATCCCATGAAGAGAATAATTGCAGGTGGCAGTGTGAGGAAAAAAAGAGGGGATAATTATGAAGCCACCTCTCAGAAGAGTTGGGATATAATCCATAAGCTTAGGTTGGAAGAAGTTAGGAAGGAAGAAGGTAAAAATAATAGAGATTTTATAAATTTTCATTGAGAGTGCCAACGTCATATAAGTTAGCTGTGTTCTGAATGTTCGCAGGTTATTTGGAAAGCTTAAACCGTTTCCTCAGAGGAACGCTGTGCTGCAGCGGATGTGGCATGTGGGAAGTGGGATGACTGTGGAGTGAGCTCTTCAGATAGCCCTCAAGTTACAAGCCACCTCCTGCTTTATAAATGTGGACCTAACCCAGAGTTATACCATTCCTCTTTTCACTTTTCCATTCTCTTCCTCAGAGACGATTTACTTTTACGGTTTAACATATTGTTAACTATATAAAAGTCATTTTTTAAAAGATTTTATTTACTCATTTTTACCCAGTGAGGGGGGTGTGAGAAGCAACCACACGTTGATGTTTCTCTCCCTCTCTTTCTCCCTCCCTTCCCCTCTCTCTAAAAATAAATAAATGAAATCTTTTTTAAAAAACATTATGAAAAAAAGATTTTATTAAAAGGATTTATAAAAAAGATTTATTAAAAGGAACTCTTTAGTGTTGAAGTATAGGATGAGAACCACTGACTTAGACAAATAGAAAATTACACTACTATTATTGGGCAGCTTTTTAATGCAACATTTAGGGTTCCTTGTCCCTTCAAACTCAATATGACTCAATTAAAATGCATTTCCAAAAGCAGTTTTCCCTCTTGACTTTTCTGACTTTGTCAATTGTACCTCCATAAGCGAAAGCGTGGAGACCCCTTTGATTTGGACATCTTCCCCATTTCCCTGCATCTGGTTTGTCTTTAAACCCAGTGTCCATCAGAGTCTCATGCCTGTCGTACCCCAGAGCTCTCCACCTTCGGGTCATCACCTCTAGGAAATCTCTTGCTCTCTCTTTTAAGTCAAGTGTAGACAGTTGAGTTAATCATTTTCTTTTGTGCATGGCACATTGTGGTCATGGTTTATCTTTTTTGAAAAATGAAGGAAATATTACATACATTCATTTCACATTCCCTTTTTACACAAAAGTTTGCCTTTTTTTTTCAGATCTTTTCCCCATTAACTAAGATGCTGGCTTTTGTGCTAAGGAACCCTGATTTCCATTTTGTTAGTATTATTTTAAAATCAGGAATGGGTGATGAATTTGTCACATGATTTTTCAGCGTCTGTGACAATGGTCAGTATTTTTCTCCTTAGGGAAAAAAATTAACATCATTAGTACTTTAAGTTAGTACTTCAAACATAACAATATATCTGAACTTTGGTTGATTTTCCATTCCCACTCATCAACTATAGTAAACATTTAAAACATCCCTTATACTTGGCTCTTTCTCTCCAGGTGCAAACACATTTAGTCCCTCGTGGATATTTCTTATATTACATGTTCCAGAAATCTATGACATACTTTTTTCCAAATAGACTTTCAAAAAATAGACTTTTCATGAATTTATTTGCTTGAAATTCTAGCTTTCGAGACTCTGCTTTCCTACTATTGCATCTCAATAATTCAGATACCAAGTAAAAATGTTTACAGAAGTCCATCCTCTTTACATCTTCACTTCCACACAAAAATGTTCCTATTTGGGATTCCAAGGTAAGGTAGAAAAGGACAGACTATTTCTAGTGTTGTTTGGGGAGATTACACATAGTTACCGTGGTTAAATCAGGCATCTCTGCAGGCGTCTAAGCACGTGAAGGGATGTTTGGGTCAAAGATGTATCTTGTCCCAGGCTTTTCCTTTCATTATTCTCAATGATTTAGAACTTGGAAGTTAGTAACCATAAATTCACAACTGAGCCACTTCTGCCACCGAAGCCAACCCTCCAGGCACATTATTTCCATATCTAATGATGTATAGTTTCCAAATCTTTCACCATCAGCCTCTCCCTTCATCAGCCGTTTCTCTGTTGTAGAGGAAAAGGCTTTATACTATTTGGAAATAAGACTTGCTTTCAGTATAACTATGTTCCACACAAGTGTTTCCTTTCTCCTCCTTTCAGTTTATTTTTTCTTATTCACTGATTAATATCTTTTTTCACCTCAAAGTTCTCTCTCTGGTTGTTAAAAAGCCTTCTCTAGCAGTCTCTTCCATCTCTATTTGTGCAGTTGCTGTGTTTGATCTTCCCTATGGGTATGGCTATATTGTGGTTTGTTCTATTTTGTGTGCCTTAAAAGGCTTAGGTGATGTACTACACATAAAGTTTTGAGAGCTTTCCCCTTTCTTCTTAAACAAAATATTTTCAAAGCAATTATTTCAGAATGGATGTGTATCTGCTTGTACTTTTACAGAAAGTTTTGAAGGGAATCTGGGAGAAATCATGATTAGACGAGTAGAGTTGAAAGGTAGTGAGAATTACCTAATGCAACTCTTTAACCTGTGAGAAAATCCAGGCAGAGTGGCTGAGTAACTTGTTGACTAACACAAAGGGAAAGGAAACATGTGGAGGAAGGATAAAGGAAAGGCCTACATGACGTGTACTGATTGGGATTAGTGGCAGGGAACATAACTCAGAGCTTATTTTCAGTTCATGGTTATTTTGACCACAGTAGGAAGACTGGTCAGCTTAAATCAAAAGGTCAATGGAAAATTTTGACAAAGAGAAAGTTTTGTCCACATGACATAACTCACTGTCCAGACCATTGGGGAAAAAAATTCATTTATTATTATTCTCACTGTTATTGCTTGATTTCTCACTTCAAGGCTTAACCACGACACTATGTCTTGGCTTCTCTCTCACCTATTATTTGCCATTTTTGAGCATTGGTTGCCCAGTTCTCTGTGGGCCTTTTCTCTTCCTTTGGGCTGAATTACTTCTTTTATTGTTACTTTTTAATTAATTCATTGGAAGGATGTTTTTTCCACATTTTTATAAGAGGTTTGGTTCTAAAAGAAGTATTTATTATACATGTACTTGAACCCCAAAGGAAACCAGAAAAAAGTAAACTGGAACAAGAAATTAATTTTCAATTTACAGGGATATTAAGAGATGAAGTATGGTTAGCAAAAATTTCCTGAAGTAAATAACCACATTGCCATTTAGTCCTTGCCATTAATGTGGTTTGTCACAATACCAAATTAAATTCATTTTTAAAAATGTACTGTGTTCTTTTAAATAAATATTTTTCCTAAATTTAAGCAAAATGAAAAAGCTCATTCAAAGTAATAAATATTAGAGTGCTTACTATTTGTAAGGCACAGTGGTGGGCCCTGAATAGGATAATAAAATGCTTAAGTCCCTGCCCTTGGCAGCAGGGTATGTGTCTTTGTTTTTTAAAAAGTTTGCACAGGCAAGAGTCTGGGGTCTGGCAGAGAACCTTACAAATCATCACCAACAGGTCATGAGTTGCTTGACACCTTTAAAATCACAAAATCCCTGCCTTCATGGAATTTTTATTCTAAAGTCATGGGTGCGGGCGTAGGGGACAGATAATAAGCAAATAAGTAAAATATACAAGTGTTATAGAGAAAAAGTAGGGGTGGGTTAGCGAGTTCTTGTCATGCTGATGTTTCAATTTCAAATGCACTTGCCAGGGAGAGTATCCCTGGAGGGGGCTTGAAATAATGAGCGGAGTGAAATAAAGGTGTTAGCCAAGAAGATATATGTGGCAGAGCATCCCAAGCAGAGGGAACAGCTAGTACCAAGGCCCTCATTTGGGACCGTGTCTGGGCTGTTCAAAGATGAACCAGGAAGCAGCAGAAGGCCAGTGTGGCTTGAACTGGTCAACTAGGGACAAAGCCCTAGGAGAAAATTTAGAAAGCCAAGAAGTGGAGAGACTTTGGGTTTTACTCTTTTAAGAAACCACTGGAGGATTTTGTTGAGTAGAGGACTGACATCTGATTTACAGTTTAGGTCCTTAATGACTGAAGTTGGTCATGGCCAGAAGCAGGAACACAAGAAGCCACCACAATATCCAGTTAACGAGAGGCAATTGTGGTGGAGGACGTGATGAGAAATGGTTGAATTCCGCACATATTTTGTTGATGGAGCCGTCAGGATTTGCTGAAGATCCAAAGGTGTGACAGGAAAGGACTAGGCCACATTGCTGTCAGCTCTGAAAACTGGCCACGCTCTCGGCATCACTTTTGCAAAAGGTGGAGATTGGTAAATGTCTTGATTCTACCTATTCACCTCAGATTATTTAATCAGACTCTCCAGCCTCGTGGCCCTGGAAACAATGCTTTTAAAATGCTTTCTCGGTATTTTTCTGCAGCTCATTTGACTTGAGCTAACAAAACTGGTTTAGGGCTCACTTGGATTACATGAAAGAGGCCATGCCTTCAGGAGACAAATTAGAAACACAACACTGTGCAACGCATGTGGGTTGGTAGGCTCGTGGATGAGAGATTAATCCCATTCCGATCCCTCTTGCAGAACGCAGGCACACTATAAGAAGCCTTAAGTGGGTCGAGCTAAGCATGGAAGGCTTCCTGGAGGAGACTCATTTCGAGGAAGGATTTCTCAGGCCTTTATCAGGAGAGAAGGACAGAAAATGAAAGTAAAAGATGATGGGTGTGACTGTGGGTTGGCAGCCAGCCCACGCCAGTCCTCTCGTTGGAGCCCTCTCTGACCCAGACGCAGCTGTTCAGCAATTGCAGCGCTGACATCACTCCACCCAGACAGTGACCGGCCCATTTTCCGCCTGCCACCGCAGCTCTGGTTTCCGGATGGTCCTGATTTGAGAGCGGACCAAACCGGATGAAGGTCGCACGCCCTCTTCCGTCCGTGTTCAGGTTCACTAGAATCCAGCGTGGAGGTGGCCCGCACCGTCCCTTTGCGCAGGCGCGGTCTGTGGTCCACGCGCGGCGCTATGCCGGCCACGCATGTCTCGCGTGTCCGGGCCTTGTATCGGCGCATCTTGCTGCTGCATCGGGTTCTGCCCCCAGACCTTAAAGCCCTTGGCGACCAGTACGTGAAGGACGAATTTAGGAGACATAAGACGGTTGGTTCTGATGAGGCCCGGCGTTTCTTGCAGGAATGGGAGGCAAGTGACTGCCCCCTTTTTTCCGCCCTACACCCTTGGGGGTCCCTCAGAGGTGTCCCGGTTTGTCCCTGTGAGAAAACAATTGTCCCGGCTGGTTTTCCCGGGTCCCACGCCAGCAGCAACGTGTTCCATATAAATTAACACAAAGCTGTCCAAACAGTACTTCCCAAAGTTACAGCCAGAGCCCGTCTGTTTCTCCCACGGGTTCCTCACTGGAGCAGATCCCGTTACACCAGCGTCTGCACTTCAACTGTTTGAGCTTCTGCCCGCGCCAGGCTCTGGAGAGGTGAGGATGGGATAAATCACCGCCAGGTGCTCAAAGAGCTTATGCCCCCCTCCAGTGCCTTGGACGGAGCAAGCGCCTATTAATAAACTGATGGTTTTCTCATTACCTCCAACTTTTCAGACTTAGAGGTTTGTTTCCATAATTACTATTTTTAAGACTTAAGTGCTCTTTGTTGGGTCTTAATAATGTTCTCAGTTGACTGATACAGAAATCAGTTAAGCCTGGGGGACTACCAACGTTGAAAGAGAAAAATGCTGGTCAGTTTAAATCAGTTGGTTCCTCCTGAGTCTCAAGTCACATTACTTTGTTACCTTGTTCTGCATCATTGACTAAATTTAAAGCAGACACGTGTATTAGGGATTAGCCCTTTGGCTACCCCCACCCTCTTTTGAGTGGAGGAAAAAGATATTCAGAATATTATGTTTTGTGGGGTTGGGGGCCCTGCAGGATTGCACCTAGTTCTGATTTGTAAATATCAAGAAATGAATGGAACTGGAGATGAGAGCAACATCTCACTCCTATGAAAGCTTGAAACAGTGTTTGTATAAAAACAGAAGTAAGCGATTCTTCAGCCTAAAATGTTGATGGCTGAAAGGATGGCTGAAGTCTGTTGTTGAAGATCATAAAGTTCAGGGTGAACACAAAACCTTGTCACTGAAGCCCAGAATTCTTGATTGTAGAATCACTGAAGCTTACAAGAGGGACATTTAGGACAAGAGTGAAATCTAGAACTTTCATAAATATCATGTGTATTAGATGTATTGGGTTGGCCAAAATGTCCATTTTTTTTTCCTGTAAAATAGGAGACACATTTTTCATCTTTGCCAATAACTTTATTGATTTGGATATTTTGAGTATGTTGGCTATCTCCCATGTGGTATAACATTGATTGTTCTCAATTAATATCTCAATTTGAGTGCTATCAACTTCAACTGGTCTACCAGAACGTGGAGGACCATCCAGCAAGAAATCTGCAGCATGAAACTGCAAACCACTTTTGACATGTTCGATGAATCATAGCATCTTCTCCATACACTGCACAAATCTTTTTTTGTGTTCTAGTTGTGTTTTTACCTTTCTTGAACTAATAAAACATAATATTCTGAAAATCTTGCTTATTTTTCATCTCCAATATTAAAATGGCTGCACAAAAATTCTCCAGTTTTGATAAGTTTTTTTTAAGTGCATGCTTATATGACAGCTGTAATTACACAGTTTAACAGAATTGTTTCAAATAGAGGTAAAGACAAGGAAGCGCTATTAGAGCCATCTTATGGGGAAAAAACCAAATGAACTTTCTGGCCAACCCAATAATTAGTCTGCCTGGAGCCAGGGAATTTGAATATTTTAAAATGAAGACTAGTACCTTTTAATATGGTAACTTGGTCTTGGAGTCAGAAGAACTGGATTCAAATTCAGGTTCTTACATTTATTAAATATTACATCACCTAATTTTTCTTATCTGTGAAATAACAGTGTTTAAAATATGTACCTTTAAATTTTTGTATGTAAATATATTTAAAAGCACTCGGTAAATTGTTAATTGCAATGAAACTATACGATATTAAGATGTTTAAGTCACATCTTTTAAGCCTGGTCAGTTTGTAGCAGGACAGGAAGGAGTGTCTAGTTCTGTGTTGGAAAGAAGTAAAGAAAGGCACTTTGAGAGGCCCTGAAGTATAAGAACTTGGAAGCTTTTAAGGGAAAGAATTGGAACTCATTGTAAAATGATAATAGGCTGGAAGAAACAGAGGACACTGAAAAAAAAACCGTAAATAAAAAGTGTGTTGCTCAACCTAGAAGGCTTGGTATTAGGAATTCAGCTTTTGGTTTTTGGGTGTTGTTTTTTTTTCCTTAACTCTCTCAAAATAGTTTTAGACTTACGGAAGTTACAAAGACAGTGCTGAGTTCCTATACATTCCTACACTCAGCTTCCCCTTACATTAACATTTTGTATAACTGATGATCAAAACTAAGAAATTAACATCGCTACAGTACTGTTAATTACAGCCTTGATTCACATTTTGTCTGTATTTCCACTAATGCTCTTATGTGTTCCAGGATCCAACCCAGGATCATACATTGTACAATATTTAGCCATCCTGTCTTCTTAACTTCCTCTGGTCTATCACAGTTTCTCAGTTTCTTCTTATCTTTAATGTCTTTAACACTATTTTGAAGAGTATTGGTTAGTTATTTTGTAGACTGTCTCCATTTGGATTTGTCTGATGTGTTCTCTTGATTAGACTGGTGTTACGAATTGTTGGGAAGGATATGATGAGGGCAGTGTGCCCTCCTCAGTATATCATGTCAGAGGGCACATGATATCAGTGACATTATTACTGGTGATGTAAACCATGGTCACTTGGTTAAGGTGATATCAGCAAGGTCTCTCCACTATGAAGTTACTCTTTTCCCTTTTGAAATTAACACATATTTGGGGGTAGATACTCTGAGTCTGTTCAGATACCCTGTTTCTCCTTAAACTTTTCCAACTAATTTTAGCATTCATTGATGGATCTTGCCATTGTGTTACAATGGTGACTTTGTCTTCTTATATTCCTTCTGAATTTATTAGTTGGAAATGTTTCTGTAGGGAAGCATTGTTTCTTCTTTCCTGTTATTGACCTAGCATTTTTACTTGTTTTTTGGTATGAAGAAAAGTGTGACCCATGGGGTTAGGGCCTTGGACTTCATTACCTAGCAACTGAGTAAAGACAAGTTTAAACGCAATGATCTCTTTGGTTAAAATAATAATTCTTGCAGTTGAAAAGCAACTCAGTCTAAGCCTGGGAATTACGAGAGGTAGGGTGGATATTCTACCAAGAGAATCTGTTTCTTTTTTCCAAGGGTGAGGACTGGAGAAGACTCCAGTGACTTGGAGGGGAGAAAAACCTGGCAGTGATACCGGAAAGTGATATCCCTTGTTCGGCCTTCTAAGTCATTTTTCCCCATGTGTTCTTCAGAACATCCAATTTATGATTGTTGTACTTGATGCTACTGGTTATGACATGGATTTCTATTGTTTTTGGGAAATGATGATTGCACACTTGGTATATGTTATCTGAGTATTATAGGCTTGATACTTATGTTTATATCAAGTTAATTGAGAGGGACACAATGATTAAAAACTTGGTACCCTTATGTGAGTTACAGTCAAGCCTGATGTTTATTTTTTTTAAATTATTTTAAAATATATTTTATTATATTATTACTCTTGTCCCAATTCCCCTCCTTGGCCCTCTCCACCCAGTACCCCCATCCCCTCCGGCAATCCCCCTCCTTTAGTTCATGTCCATGGGTCATGCATATAAGTTCTTTGGCTACTCCATTTCTATACTGTTCTTAACATTCCCCTGTCTATTCTATATCTACCAATTTGTACTTCTTAATCTTGCACCTTTTCCCCCGTTTTCTCCCTTTCCCTTCCAGATGATCTCCGTATCTGTCATTCTGTTTCTGTTCTGTTGTTTGTTTAGTTTGCTTTTTAGATTCAGTTGTTGATAGTTCTGAATTTATTGTCATTTTAATGTTCGTAGTTTTGGTCTTCTTTTTCTTAAATAGGTCCCTTTACCAATTCATACAACAATGGGTGATGATGAACTCCTTTAGCTTTACCTTGTCGGGGAAGCACTTTATCTGCCCATCGATTCTAAATGATAGCTTTGCTGGATAGAGTAACCTAGGTTGTAGGTCCTTGCTTTTCATCACTTGAAGAACATCTTGCCAGTCCCTTCTAGCCTGCAAAATTTCTTTTGAGAAATCAGCTGACAATCTTATGGGAACTCGTTTGTAGGTAACTATGCTTTATTCTTGCTGCTTATAAGATTCTGTTTATCTTTAACCTTTGATACTTTATTATTTTTTTCACTATTTTTAAATCTTTAAATTTATTTATTTTCCTTTACTGGAGCTACATTTTTTCTTAGTTTGTTCCTGTAGTACTGTTAAGTGGTAGATAGATATTTAGAAGCATTTCTCCAACTTACCATATTTGTTGCTGACATACTTTTATTAAATATTTATTTTCCCTACAATTCAATGACTTTTAGGATATTCACAGATTTGAGCAATCATTACTACAACTTTAGAACATTTTCATTACCCGCAAAGAAATCTTGTATCTCTTAACCATCATCTCCCCAATTTCCATATACCTCCCAGCCCTAAGTAACGAGTAATTAAATTTCTTTCTTTTGGATTTGCTTATTCAGGACATTTCATATATATGAAATCATATATTATGTGGTTTTTTATATCTAGTTTCTTTTTGCAGTTCCTCAAATAGTTAAATGTAGACTAACCATATGATCTATCAATTCCAGTGCTAGGTATATAACCAAGAGAAGTGAAAACATATGTCCAAATAGAAAATGTATATTTGAATGTTTACAAAAAATGTTCATTATAGTTAAAAGGTTGAAATAACATAAATGTTCATCAATGAATGGAGAAATAAACTGTGAAATATATATATTTCAGCCATAAAAAGGAATGAAGTACTGATACATACTGGAAGTTGGATGGACCTCAAAAACAATATAAGTGAAAGAAGTCAAACACAAAGGGCCACATGTTGTATAATTCTTATATAAAATATCCAGAATAAGCCAATCTATAGAAACAGAAAGCAGATTAGTGCTTGCCAGGGGTGAGGGTGGTGGGGAGGGGGAGTTCTTGAGTAAAGAGTGTACTTCTGGGATAAATAAAAGCT